CTTTCGCATTCAACTTTTCATGCATTCACATTGTCTAATGCTAATTTTGCTAACGATCGTCCTTACAGCGTTTAATATACGTTCGGCTTTCATGTTTATGCTCGCTGTATTCTTCGACATAGCAGCTCTTATCATTAATTTGATTACGAAATGGCATCGTAGAGGTAAGCAAATTGTGTTTTTCTTTGGCAGAGTGTTGGTTTCGATCGATATAGGTCTGCTTTTGACATAGGTATCGAGGTTTTGCAATAGAGACGCTACAAAATGAGACCRATAAGAACAGCATACCAGGCCATTATGCCATCATTCCGTGCTATTTTGACATTTCCCTTTAGGAAGATTTGTCATTTTATCATGGAAAGATATACCGCCCAACAACGAGAGAAAATTATTAAAATTTACTACCGATATTCGTAGTCAGTGGCTTCAACTTTAAGAGCGGTACGTTCAGTTTTTAGTCGTTATAATCATTCTGTCAGATGAACAATTGAGCGTCTAGTGGAAATTTTTAAATCTACTAGTAGTAAATTTTCCCGTGCCATTGAGACAAAGAAGTGTCCGTAGTGTCGGGAATTTGTCGCTAGCGCATCATTGTGGCGAATTTTGCGAACAGATCCAACTGACGCAAGAACTGAAGCCGCTAGACCGCCAGAGTCGTCGTATGTTCGTGAATTAAGCTGAGCAACAACTTAAAAATGATCTGGATTTTCATCGAAAAATCATCTTCTGCACAAAAGCTAATTTCTGGCTGAATAACTACGCCAATAAGCAAACTATGCGTTGTTGATCAGATAGCAATACACATGTACTCCATGAGTCAATATTGCACTCCGGAAAAAGWACGGTGTAGTGTGGTTWATGGGCCAGMGGYGTCATTGGACCGTAYTTTTTCCGTGATGATCAAGACCGACAGGTTTTTGTAAATGGGAATCGCTACCGCTGAATGATAACCGAATATTTTTGGCCTGAATGGAATAAAATAAATCACYAGCGTGAYGAACTGAGTCGATTTAGTCTTGTCCGCCTGTGTCTGTCTRTCAGTATATACTAGGAACTAGTTCCAAGGTTTTTTTAGATACCGATCTGAAACTTTGCTCATGTCTCTTTCTGCCCAAGAAGCTGCTCTTTTGTCTGAAGCACCGGTATCCACTCACTTTATTATATAGCTGTCATGCAAAGAAGTGATCAAACTCACCTCGCCCCTTTAAGAAAAAAATTTTTATTTGACAGGTTACCTTGACAAAATTTGGTTTGTTATCCAAAGCAACGATACAATCTTGTAACAATTTTTACAGAACAGACCATTATACTATAAAGCTGCCAGTTTTTAAGAATATTTTAGCTTCGGTGCAACCAAAGTTAACGATTTTCTTTGTGTTGTTGTTTTTTTTTTTTTTTTTTTTTTGGAAATATACACACTTCCTTTAAAAGTTATTACTACTTTCGTTTGTATTTATGCATTTCTTTCTCACGCAGCTTATTGGTTTGGCATCGCCGTCATCATTTGCCAAGTRTTGCCGTTCCTTTACTATACCTCAGTAGCACAAGAGATTTATTTTACAATGATACCGATGATGGGTCGCTCAGGATCTGCTACCAATCCAGATATTATAATTGCTGGAATAGCGATTTTATTTGCATGTCTATTCGCCGGTTTCATAGTAAGATTAACTTATATAACTTTTTTAGTGCCTTGGAGAAGATGCATAATATTCTATAAAATKTCTTTATTCTCTATCTGAATCTTCGTCTAGATGCCACTCTACTTGTTCTTCCGCAAAACGCGTACGATCGCGCTTTGCTTCTTGGGCGTCACACTATTCTTCATAATACTAGCGGTCACTCCAGTTGGTTTCCCATATACGCCCAAAGTAGCCGCACAGCGTTACTCGCTACTCGTAAGTATACTCGTTATTGATAAATAAAAAAACTTAATTATTATTAAAATATCATGACAGCATGCGAAGCGTATACTACATAATGCCGACGGCACTGAACGTGTAAATGAATCGGGCGTTTACATATATGCGCAGGATCGACGTATACACATTGTGGATGGTAAGCGTTAAATTGTTTCGAGACATTTTTCAATGAAAATTTTACAGACAATATCAAAAGCATTGGCGAAAAGCATAAAGTAACTGATGTCTGCAATAATGAGCTCTTCTGTGGGATGCCAATATTCAATCATCGTTGGCACAAGGCAAGGTTAGTAGTTGCGCTTTAAAAGTACTCATATAATTGTTATTATATTTTTTTACAGAGAAAATAGTTTTTGGATACCCATCGATGAGGAGCCCAATATACCTGGCATAAAGCCAACACTAACGTTGGCATCCAAAACTGAAGTGGACGCATCCAATRTCAGCCGTTATAGCTTTACGCTTACCGGTCCGGATCATATGACAATATTTATCGGACCGAAAACGCCAGCTAAAATTGTCAATTGGTCTTTCAACGATACAATGATTCGTGATAATTGGGAACCACCCTACTTCATCTACTACTCATATGGCAAAGATAGCAGTGCATTAGATTTCTACATTGATATGRAGGTAATCAAACGAATCACTAATTAATTAATTGTTAATTAAATATTTTTTTTTTTACCTTCACACTTTTAGACTACTGACTTGAACACACAAAATTTGGAAATCGGCATAGGTGCTCATTGGATACATCAGGCGGTGGTGCGTACCGACGGTTATGAAAAGTTCATTCAAGGTTTTCCTGGTTATGCCTACGTGGCAGACTGGCCGGCTTTCTATGAAAGTTGGTTATTTTAAGAAATTCTTCTTTTTTTAAGAAATTCTTCAAATATGCTATTGCATGTGCATAATAAGCATTATTGTTGAGCACTGAATATCATTTGTAAAGATACTCGTAGTTTATTTTTAGTTATTAACAAGTTTTACTAAATAAATTAAGAAAAAACGATATTTAAATTATTTTGGAAAAAGTGTTCTCTACTTAATAATTTACATTGATATTTGGAAACTGTAAACGAAGRAAATTATAGGCAAAGTATATATCATCAAACTTCACTCAGACTGACGCATTCAAAATTGCATTCTTCACTAACTTAAGCATGCCAACCCTTAATCCAATTCTTCATACAGTTGCTGTAACCCAAGCATCGCTTTTGCAACCTGAAGAGACAGCTGAAGCTCCCACTTTGAAACTATAAAAACTAACAAACTCCCTCAACAACAATCAATAGTGCGACTAGTGGAACAGTAAATTAATTTCCACTGTATTTTCGTTAGTAATTAGTTCTATGTTTAGAAAATTGTTGACAGCTATATAACCACACACAACTAAGTTGAAATAGGATAACAACACAACAGGTTTTGACAGGTTGAGTTGTTTTCGATAACAACAAAATGTGGAAAATTTCAACTGAAGTAGAGGTTGAATTGTTTTCAAAGCATCAAAGTGCAAAAAATTTCAACTTAAGTAGAGTTGAGTTGCAAGCTTTACTTTACTGTGCGAAAGTAATTGTTATACTGCATTTTTGTTAGTAATTAGTTTTATGTTTAGACAGTTGTCGACGAAAACACCAAGTAAAAAGACGATAACAAGTCAACTCTTGATAAATTGAGTGGTTTTCGATAACACTGAAGAGGAGAAATTCGACTGTAAGTTGAGTTGAGTTGTAAGGCACACATTATTAAGTATTGAAGATATCTTGACAGTTGTTTTTTTTTTTTTTTTTTTTTTTTTTTTTTTTTTTTTTTTTTTTTTTTTTTTTTTTTTGTTGATACACCGAAGTGAAAAGTTTAAACTAAAGTGAAGTGGAGGTTGAGTTGTTTTCGCTAAAATCAAAGTTCAAATTTCAATTAAAATAGAGGTTGCGTTGTTTTCGAAACATCGACTGTCTCTTATACACATCTAAACATCCGAAAATTATAATTAAGTTCCTGGGATAATGTATTTTACTAAGTTACGAATGTTGGAAAAGGCTTACGGTGACTCAGTTTTATCAAAAACACAAGATAGTAGTACAAAGGATTGAAACCTGTCTCTTATACACATCTAGATGTGTATAAGAGACAGGTATTAGTGCGATCTGTCAACTAGTTTGCTTATAGCAACTACTTAATTCGGTATACCTCAGTAAGGCGTTGCGATTTTTACAATGGATAAAAATATCGAACAAAGAATTAGTCTCAAATTTTGTAGTTCCGTTTACGGAATCGTTGCGAATATTATAAAAGGCTTACGGTGACTCAGTTTTATCAAAAAACACAATCCTTAGATTTGTACAAAGCCTTCAAACACGGTTGAGAGTTCGTCAAAGGCATGCCTCGTTCTGGACGATATTCGACCTCTTCAACTGATGAAAATACTAAAAAAGTGAAGGATATGAAGCTTGAAAATCGTCAAGCAAATATTGGAGAGATGGCAAGAGAACTTGACTTTTCTCGCGAGTCCGTTCGAATGATTTTGGTGGATAATTTGAGTATGACTTATTCCRAATTTTTTTCCAAAAGAGTGCCATWAATCGGTCTCTTTTAGAGCATTATAACTGCCGAGAAGACATGGGTTTATGAATTTGACTTGCAAAAAGTCAGCAATCTTCGAAATGGAACTCRYTTTCGGCCATTCCAAARAGWSCCTATGAAAATTCTTTCGAGGACTCGAAAAATCGTTAGCATAATAGTATTACATCTGGTTGAGTTTTCTTTAAAGGCCACAAAATAAATATTGATGAATAATTAAATATTTKGCGTTTTATTTACACTTTCAATTTTGTCACAATGTATATAAAATTGACGGTACTTGAGCGTTATCACACAAGTGTCTTGATAATATATGACTTAAAATTCACCATCRCTATAATTAAAAAGACAAGTACTTTAGATTTCACACTTAATCAATTTATAATTCAAACAACTCGTGATTTTGTTTGTGTGTGTTTTTTTTTCTCATATCACTGCAATTTATAGTAACAATCTTATAAGAAACTCATATGTGGCATGTTTCCATTCATCAAAACATTTACTACGTCGTTAGTGCCGGTGTGAATAAGTTCATTTTTAGTGAAGAAATAATTCAGACACCAATCGACAATCAAGTGCGAATATTGAATATATATAAATGGTATATTAAATAACTGTAGTATTTATGAAGTAAAAAATATAAATATTTCAACATATATTTCAATAAAATAACAACCGATACAAAAAACACAAAATATAGAAAACCGTTCCCACGACAGYCGGGTCTAAATACCCGGAACGGCCCCAAATTTTTATTTAGCCAAGGACTGTCAACTCAGCATTAACCCTCTAAATTACCTCAAGAATGTTTTCTGCCGCTACAACAACAACATAAAATATATMTACGAATAAAAGCAAGACTTACAGYTACTTTAACATATACACATTGTTTAATCAAATTATATGATATGAGAATTACTGGAAAGATACACAGTAGAGCGGGTTAATTTACAGGGAGCTACGCACTATTCTGAACAAAAAAAAATGCCTAAAATACTATCGGTCTAAACCCAGCGAGTTATTGTTAAAACGAAGTGTTTTAGGGATCATAAAYATTGTTTCGCCAGTTTTCATCATTTGTCGGAATGGGCCCGATTGGACGAGTATATMACAAATCTTCCATAAACAGTTTTTCAGATTTTTTTAAACTTCACCTTAAAAAAAAACTTTAACCTTTACCTTAAAGCACAATTTCAGCATTCTAAATCTCATCCGATTCGGCCATCTGCCTCTGATCGAAAAAGTGAAAGAAACATTGAAGAAACAGTGTTTGAAAGTCATTGTGCTAGCATTTGAGAGATAGCATTTCAACATAACTTATGAATTGAGTAAACCATTTTGATTCATATTWTGGATATGAAGCTTTTCAAAGCTAGACTCATACCAGGAGACCAGAAACTTTAGCAAAGACGATTATATTACTATTAGTGACGAGATTTTTTCTTCACTCCATCCCACTAAATCCACAGTCACTATGTTCACAAACTGAACGAAGGAGTACCGACTTGCCCTTAATATTGCGGTCGATGGCGTTAAAATTCCGACTGTTAATAACCCTAAGTTTTTAGGTGTGACATTCGACAGCTTGTGCTGCTACACTCCTCACATGACCGCAATTATTGCCAAAGTACAGAKCCGCAACAAAATSCTCAAGTCGYAAGCCGACAGCAAAGAAAAAGACAAAGAAATGTGTTTGGCAACATACAAGGCATTTCAGTCGAACGATCCTTAACTTTGTCGTAACTTTATGGTCACCTGGATACAGTGAAAGGTAAACGAGGCGACTGCAGATATGTCAGAAYACTGTACTCTTGACCAGATGCATCTTGATGTCTCCCGAACACCTGCACAGGAGCATAATAAACTAAATTAT